TGCCTTGGACTCTGATTTAATTTTGGATATTATTTGGAACCCTGACATTAACCCGAATCTCCCTTAAAATACTTCACCAGCTGTCCCAAAATTCGGGGTGCTATATGGGGTCTTGAGCCCCAGCATCGACCCGAGCTTGGGTGGCCCAAAGCCTCAGTGAAGATGGAGGAGGAGAAGAAAGCCACGAGGAGAGCAGCAGATGACAGATCGCCTGTCTATGTTGAGACCATCTACGTGCCTTCCAAAGCCGTGGTGGAAGCCGTGGAGAGGGAATGCTAGCTGGGAGCCAGGCGCAAAGAGCCAGCCCCTAGGCCTCCCTTGCAACCAGAACTACCTCTGCAAGATGAAGCCTCGAAGCCTGCTGGAGCCACAGGGGGGTGCGAGGCAGCCTTGACCCACGAGTGGAGGCGACCAAAGCAGACGCCAAGCGAGTGCTCTGATGATTGGGGATCCCAACCAACTTCATGCAGTCAGTCTCTGACCAGCCTCCCAGACCAATTCGGGCAGCTGAATGTAAGTGGAATCAGCCCATGTTCACCTTCCCGGGTAGAGGCTCCGCAATGTACTGGAATGGGGATTTAGGCTCCTTCCATACAGCAACAAAAGGATCAGCCCAACACCTTGCCCCTTCAGCAAGACCATCGGCAGCACCCCTCCTCCCTGGGGCACAGATGGCCAATCTCCTTCCCCCACCTGCCACCCCTTGCTAAAGGGACGGTGGGGAAAGGAACCAGGCAGGCTGCCTTTACCATTGAGGCGAGGTGGGTGGTGTTGGGCCGCGAGGAGCGCCTCTCACCTTTCCAGGTCCCTCGCGTTCCTCGCCATTGTGTCCAGGGAAGCCCCTGGTAAAACAAAACCCTTCTCAAGAAGTTTGATTTAACTCACGAGAAGGGGTGTTCTTCTACCAGCGGCTTCCCTGGACACAATGGCGAGGAACGCGACAGAGCTGGAAAGGTAAAAGGCGTGCCTCGCTTCTCACCTGCCCCAGAAAATCATAAGCCCTCCCCCTATAATAAGCCCTCCCCCTATAATAAGCCCAAGGCCATATTTTGTGCAGCAAAAGAAAATAAAACCGTCTTATTTTCGGGGAAACATGGTAGGCATTCCATTTTCTTTTTAAACTTATACATGCTCTTCACCCACCCTCCCCCTTTACATACATATTTGATAAAATAATAATAAAAGAAAACTGAACTATTTAAATAATGAATTACCTCAAACAGATTTCCCCTGTCTCTGTTATATTTGGATGCCAGATTCTTGTCAAACATTTTACCTTTGGAGGCTGTCAAAGAATAAAAGAGAGATTACAGAGATGACATATATGAAAGGCAAATTGCTCCTTCTCTGTCTCCCTACCTTCTAGGCATTGTGTATCTCAGCTCCATGAAGATACATAAAAGACAGGCAATTCCTATCCCTGCCCCTCCTAACATGTTTTTTTCTTAATTTTCTACTTAGCTATAAAAATCGAGTATTGGGCAAACCATGCATTATTAACAAAATAATAACAAAGGTTTACATATATCAAATTAGAAACATTTTAATGTCTCTCACTTGAGCCAACTCATACAGTATTATTAGGAAACTAAATGATATCTGATGGATACAAATCAAGTTAGCACTGGGCTCAGTTCTGATTAGGGTGATCTGATTTCTGACTTCTTTAAACAGAGCATCCATTCCCTTAAAGATTAGTGAAAACTTATTTTAGAAGTTTGGAAAAAATGGAAACATTTTTTGCCTCCTTACTTTCCTTCTGTACCTTCATTCCTAAATCATCCTTTTTTTTTAAAGCAAATGATAGTTCTGTTTAATATAAGGAATGGGAAGATACAGAAATTTATAGCAGAATTGTAATTACTAATGTGTTATATATGATTTTCATAAGATTCATCAGAAACTCTGAACAAAAAAATTGGCCATGCCATTGAATATGGTAATTTGTACCAATTGGAATACACTTGCTAACAAAATCTAGAAGAGCTACAATTTATATTGTCTGTTCTAAACCTTTGGGTTATCTTCATAATAAGTTCTGATGACTTGATAAAATAAATTTAACAAGTATTCTGTACTGCAATGTAAAAAACCCAAATTATCTTCCGGGGGTGGTGGTGGTGGTGGTTTAAGATTAAGATTACGATTAAACAGAAGCTTTGGTTTTAATTACAAATAAATGAAGTAGATGAATATAAGTTTTCATGAGTTTTAATGGGCTTAAGTGGCCAACTGTTGACTGTGAAGGAATAAAGGTGCTTGGCTCACTTGATATTAAGATGTAACTTCTGATCAGCTCCTTTGCACAAATCCTACTATTGGTTTAATATCTATATTCCTTAACATACGTAAATTGATACAACAGAAGAAACTGATTCAATTGAGTTAAAGGAATTGATTCCATTCCTGCTGTTTTGTCTGAAAAATTAACTATCTATCCCTTGTTCAAAGGATATGAGAGGAGTGCACAGTTCCTATAGCCCTCTTGGCTCGGCTATTGGGGAAAATGGTGTCATGCGTCTCTATAGTTCTCTGGGCAAGACTACATGCCAGGCCCCTTCACTGGTTTCTGCTCCCATTCCAGCGGGCTTGCAGCAGCAGCTCCCAAACCAGGGTTCGGGTCCACCCAAGGGTATTATAGTCCCTCCAATGGTGGATATCCCTAGACCTACACAAGGGATGTGCCTTCAAAGAACCCAGCTGCATCACAATAAGGTTAGATGCCAGTCTATACGACTAGGGCGCCCATCTCCAGTCTCACGTGGCCCAGGGTTGTTGGTCTCAGGAAGACCTGCACAACAACATCAATTGGGCACATTCGGCCCTTCGACAATCCAGGGACATAATCCAGGGACAACATGTTCTCCTTCTTAGTGACAATGTGAGACTATCAAAGCTCACACCAGCTGTCAGGGAGGCACCCACTCCAGGGTCCTCATGACAGGAGCAGAACATTTGGGGATGTGGGCGGGGCTCTCTCTCAAAGTGGAGCACATCACGGGAGTAGCGAATGTGCAGGCGGACTGCCTCAGCAGGTGCACAATTTACCACTTGGAATGGGCTTGGCCCTGCTAGACACGGCCCTTGCGGTGGTCGTACCTGACCTGGAACTGGACTCCTCTGTAGTAGGCAATTGCCCTGGGGATAGATCTAATTCACCACTGCTGGCTGAAATGGAGCAATCCGTCATCTTTATGGCCTCCATAATATTCTGCTGGGATCTGTGCCAAAAGGAGAATGTTCATCCGGCCCGGAAAGTGCCGCGGATCAATCTCAGGGAGGCAGCCACTTGAAGTGGTAGTCACAGGGCAGGCAATGATCAATGATAAACAGTCTCAGAATAAACGAAATGAGGAGCTCCAAGGAAACGCAAACACCACTAACAATCTCCAGAGGGAATGCATGGCCAAAGCGACACAGGCTCAGTGAAGCAGCCCTCTCAGTGCCAAAAGTAACCAACACGGCTAATTAGATCCAATTAAAATGGCACGAATATGGCGGACCGTTCTCCCGCGTCCCTGGTTCAGCTGCAGAATTCAAAAAGTTCAGAAGAGATACAATCTGCAAGGGGATCCTCGCACAAGAGTGGCAAACCGAAAATGTTCGAGCACCAACAACCTCCCCACCACCGCCGCCAGATGGAGGCTTAGCCTAGGCAATATCTCCAGCTGCACTAGCTCCGAAAGAAACAACGATCCGGGGCTCGAGGCAATTCAAAGACAAAGTTCTATCCAGAAGGTCAGGAGAAACCAGCGCACTCACCCGCAGCCCAATAATTATTACTACAAAGGGAGTGAAAGTTATAGGATGAAGGAGATGGTTTTTGGACCACTCCAGAATAATATATTTGGTTATGACAGATGAATTTACAAAAGTGGATACTATTTCATTAGCCAAGATTATTTTATATGTATATGATAAAGAAATATACAGTGTCCACCACAGATGTTTGTTGGAATGATTATTCAACTTGTATGCTGCCCTATTCCCGAGGGACTCAGGGCGGCTAACAAACCAAAGGGAAGGGGAATACAAACAGAACACAAGACAAACAAGTTAAAAACAAAACAACAATCACAACAGTTTAAATGGGAGCGGGAACTCGTCAGCCCCAGGCCTTCCGGAACAGCCAGGTCTTAGTGGCTTTGCGGAAAGCCGGAAGAGTGGTGAGGGTCCGGATCTCCACGGGGAGATCGTTCCAGAGGGCCGGAGCAGCCACAGAGAAGGCCCTCCCCCGAGGGGTCGACAGTCGACATTGGCTAGCTGATGGTATTCGGAGGAGGCCTAATCTGTGGGATCTAATTGGTCGTAGGGAGGTGATTGGCAGGAGGCGGTCTCTCAAGAGATGATGAAATAACAAGTATGAAAATGGAAAGAGCTAAAATAATAATTTTAGACTATATGATTGAGAAAGTGTTGACAAAGGGGTCATGGTTATGTTTACAGGGGAGGAAAACAATAACTTTGATTGTAATTGCTGTAATGAAAGTTAGAAGTCATAGTCTTTATTTTCCTTTTTTTTCTTTTTCCTTAACTGTTTCCTGTTTACTTTTGTTTACTTTTTTCTTCTTTTACTTTCTGTCTTTTATATATTTCTTACTTGTTTTAATTTAAGTAAACATTTTCATTAAAATTATATTAAAAAGAGAGAAAATATGCTTTGAAGAGTTTTTACACATCTTTTAGAGTTCATCTGAAAGAAGACAAGAACTCTTGTAGAATCTCAAGATCAAAACTTGGACATTGGGTCCCATCCAGCAAATTGTTTAATGGCAAGAGATTCTGCATGCAAATAAGAGAAGCTACATGCACAGATACAAGACAGTGATAACTAGCTTAACAGTAATCTTTGCAAGAAGGATCTAGAAAGATTAAGCATGAGCCAGTTGTCAGGCCTGTAGTTATGTTCCTTTTAGGATCTTTGGCCTGCCACACTTTCATGAAAACAAGCCCGTTTTTTGTCAAAAAAAAATAACATGCATACCCTTATGTAGGCTTACAGAGTGCTGCTGGGGGCAGGATTGAGCAAAAAGGCCCCTAATTTCTGCCCTCTCCAGCCCCCAGGAGCTCTCGGAAGGCCCCCTAAAGGCTTACCTATGGCCATTTTGGGGGGGAAGGGGGTGGAGCTTCAGGAGGGAGAAAATGCTGCATTCAATGTATAACCCAGATTTTCAGCCTCTTTTTCGAGGAAAAAAGCTGCGTCTTATACTCTGAAAAATACAGTGTGTTTATCCTAAAGAAGGGAAGGCTTAGGAGAGACACGATAGCAGTGTTCCAATACGTAAAGTGTTATTATAGAAAAGAGCACGCGGATTAATTTTCCACAGCGTCCAAGCATAAGACAAGAGCCAATGGGATGGAAACAGTGAGAGATCCAAATTTTAGATAAAAATAATGTTCTGAATATGAGAATCAATCAGTGGATCAGCTTTCATGCTGAAGTCATGCGATCACCGTCATTGGACGTTTTCTAGAAAAGACTGGACAGCACATGCTGTTGAGAAGGATTAGAGCAAAAAGAAAATAGAAGTGTCTCTTGGGCTGGCTCTGTAATTGATGTTAAAAGAGCAATAAGACCAGAGAATCTAATTATCCTGATGAAAAATTCAAAACTTGTTATCTGAAAGTCAGGTTCCAGCCTGACTACCAAATGAAAAGCCTTAAAAATAAGAAACCTCAAGTTCTACTTAACAAATGGTTCAAGTGTTACACCCACGGCTGCCATCAAAAGTAGTTCACGTGATTGGTTGGAAATATCAGGGCTGCCCCTTTCAAAAATATCTCTCAACATGAGGCACCAAAGTAAGACCTTTTGTCTTTCTAGGACAAAATACTACTGAAAGCAGTCCTCAACACTTACATATGAGTTCCTAGACGCTTCCAGACTATTTCCTGGAGAAATTCCAAAATTTCACCGATTTTCTTAATGGAGGATACTTGCCCATAGTCCTAAACCACATGAGAAAGATTTTCCAATTGACCTTGTGAAAGAAGTATTCTAGATAAAGCAAAGTCTTAAGAATTTGATCTTTAATCACAACTATTCAGTTCCCAAGCTGTCAATCATGAGCCAAGGTGGCGCAGTGGTTAAAAGCAGCACTGCAGGCTACTGCTAGATCAGCAGGTCAGCGGTTCAAATC